AATTAAATTGAGATTTGTGCATTTTTTAAGGCTGATGCCTCCTTACTCTTCCCGTCGGCAGCCATGATTTTGATTTTGATTTTGATTTTTTTGAATAATTTTTTTTTTGAATGTCCACTTTCTTGTGAAATAGAGCCGAGCGTAAGATATTGCATTATGAGCGGCGACCATGGGATAGGCAAAACGTGTCTCTGTATGCTCAAGTTGAGCATACCATCAAGCACTACACCTGCGCATCCGCAAGGGAAAGTCGCTCCTTTGTCGACACGATCAGCACTCCTTCGTCCGAAAGCCTCACGGCCATCCAACGGCAGCTTCCCGACAAAGCTGACACAGCAATCGGCACTCTTCCGTTGGCAGAATGGCGTGTCTGCATTGAACCAGCTCGACACTCTTCTGTTATCACTGCCCCTCCTTTCCCACGATCGAAACAATAACGGCAGTCCCGCTACGCCTCGTTATCGTCCCACTCGGACCCTCCGATCGATCACACTCTCTCCTGAACTGCCCAGCAAGCGGCACATCCGATTTCCAAGCAGCGCCCTACCATTTCTAGCCGTTCCTATCCGACTCAGCACTGTTCATCATGTCGTTCGCCACCACCACCAACGCCGATATGGCGACAAACGATACCGTCGATACCAGCACCATCGCTCAGGAGGATGCTCCCACTACCACCACCTCATCAGCCAATCCCGCCAAGAAAGGTCACCATAGACGCACCTCCTCGCTCCTACCCAGCCTCAACTCGCTCGGTTCCTTTCTTGCAAGCGCACGAGGCTTGACCGGATCCAACAACGATGGCCAAGGCTCTTCCACCCTTCCTGCCTCAAGCTCAGGAGGCTTGAGCACAGATGCAGAGTTAATCATCTCTCACCCCACCCCTACCGAGTGGGCTGACGACTCGAACAGCCCTGTCAAACAACGTTTTCACTCGGCCTCCTCGGCTGCACGCGTCTCTCGATCGACAGAAACGCAATTACGAGCTTCTCCTCGCAACTTGAGTGAGCAGGTCCGCTTTCGAGGTCAACCCAGACGTCTTGGACGCAGCCATCTTTCCAACAGCCATCTTTCCCACAGACAGTCTTTCATTGCATTCCCTTCACCCATTTCGCCAACTATGTCTACCGTCACTGAATCAGAGCGTCCCCTTAGGAGCTCATCAGCTTCCAGGACCTCTTCTGCTGCCAGTATCGCAAGGCACTCGGATCCTGCTGCTGCTGCCAGACTTGTTTACAGTCCAGAGCCATCGGCCAGCACTACTTCATCATCGGCATACACACCTGCTACTTCGGTACGATACTCGCCTGCTCCGACACCAAAGACGCTACCAGACCAAGCTCCACTGCAGTCCCCATCTCCACCTCCGCCTTCGGAAGCAACCATTCAAGCGGATGCACCCTCGCAACAAGGATCGACGTCGAGATCTGCACAGTCTTATCAGACGTTGCCCCGCTCTTTTGCAGCATCGACAGTCCAAGGTTCGAGCAAAGAAGTAAGTGAGCAGGGCAGTGTTTACGGCAGGACGGCTTCTTTCAGCGGTGCCACTGACAAGCTAAACGAAGCTCTCGAAAGCGACGACAAGATAACAAACAGGCAAGCTGGCTTCCGCGCTCGTTCTATCAACTCGATTCGCGGCTTGGCTGCTGCTTGGGTCCCTGCTCGTTTTGCACCGACTTCTCAACCTTCGAGCTCGGCTTCTTCGTCATCGTCAAACGACGAATCTTCCTTACTCGGTGGACATAGTCCCCGTCAACGCGACGGTATGGCTCTCACAACTACAGCTGGAGCCAAGTCAAAGACCATGGTTCGCCACGGCACTGACAGTGTCAAGCGTCCTGTCAAGCTCGATCGTCGTCGACTGGATAAAGCTGTCAGCTTGGCTGTTGAAGCGGCACAAGCCGCCGAAGAGGATGAGAGATTGTGGGAGGAGAAGCGGGCGAACAAGATTGCGTCAGCTGCCAAAGCACGACCAGCTCTGAAGGGTGCTTGGCCTTCCTCCAGTCCAAGTAGCAATGAGGACAGTCGTCAGCTCACACGCTTCGGAACGAACGGTATCGATGCTGATACAAGCTTGACTTTAGAAGAAGAGGATGAGGATGAGGATCAAGACCATCTTGGATTCTCACTCGATCTCTACATTTCTTCCCTCGGATACCTCATCTCCGCCATATCGGACAAAGAAGCTCCTGGTCTTAGCAGCAAGCAGAAGCAAGACATCAAGCAACGCTTGGAAGAAGGCATGTCTAAGCTTGGCTTCGACGCCAAAGCCGAGTTGGAAAAAGCTGAAGCCATAAAACGAGAACTCGAGCTGGAACGGGAAAAGCTTCAGCTCCAACAACAGCATTCTGCATCCCCGACGACAGCCAATGTGATTCATCATCACTATCACACAGCTGTTCCTGCGAATAACTCTTACTTTGGTGTCGGTGCTGGCGACTTTTCGAGGGCTCATGCTGCCGCCAAGGCTTCCAGTCGAGGATCGTCAAGTTTGGCTGGCAAGATCAGCTCATCCGTGTTGGACATTGGGTTGCATATCGGTGCGGGAGCGTTGAGTGCGTTCAGTGCTAATCTTTCGGCGATCGCTCCCAGGGGAGTTGGTGGTGGTTCAAGCAAGGCTTCAAGCACATCTGCGAAGCGCGATGGGGAGGGAATGGAAGATCCCAGGATCACAGATTTGGACAATGACGAAGACCTGCCAAGCCCGTCAGAGTCACAACATCGGGCAGATGCCTCGCCGTCTCAACCAGGAAGTGGAGCAGCAACTCCTCGAACAGCATGGACTCGATCCATCAATCAGAACAACAAGCAGTGGGAACTTGCAGTCGCTTTTGCAAGCACCGCTGCTTCTGCCCTAGCTTCCAGTCTTGGCGCTGTTGCACGCAACGAGCCCGCACCTCCCTCCTCACCTTGCACCTCCACGGCCGTTACTACAGGTCCTTTGACTCCGGAACAGCAACAACAGCTCGCACAATACGGATACCTCCCATCACAACCCCCTCACACACAAGGCGAAACAGCAGAAGATCGCTTAATCCTTCTTTCCGCTTCACTCGCTCGCTCTCTCAAACGCTCTCCCCTCCCCTCCCAACTCTACCAGCTCCTACGACAGCTGGTCTCAATCCTAGCTGCTATTGATGCAAAGTACAGCCTCACGGAGAAGGGCACACAGATGGCAGTACGGGAGACCAGTAGAGCTATGCGGTTCGTCAGGAGACACGATCTGCATCTTAAGGCGGTTCGGGTGGCTTGGGCTGCTGCTGAAGCTGCAGTAGCTGCACTGGAGGCGTATAGAGATGAGAAGGGGTGGATGGAGCAACAGATAATCACAGGTGGTGGGGCGACGCCGGTGTATGGTGCGTCGCCGCCGAAGGAGAGTAGGGCGATAGAGGCGAGGCAGATGCTGAAGGCAAGGATGGACGATGCTGAGGCGCAGATTCTAGCAGCTGCTGCAGCGTCGGGGGAGAAGGGGAAGGTGAGAGAGAAGCTCGGGCAGAGGGCCTGAATCGCTTTGAACGAGCATACAGTGATGCTCGTGTCACACCCATTTGAAAGCTCTTTGCGATGTTTCCATACACTTTGATACCCAACCCCGCCTAGAGAAGGGATGCTGTTCCACTCGGCTTTAATCTCAATACCCTTTGTGCGAAGAACGTGCTTCTCTTTGCATCCAACTTTTCATCTCTCTGTTTGTGTTGCCTCCCCTCTGTCTCTCATTCGCGGTCTCAGCCTTGTCCACAATCGCGAGTTGACAGAAAACCAAGCATCAATTGTCAAACGAACCAACTTCTCTTCACTGACATTTGTCCGAACCGTTTAAGGATCCCATTCATCAATACACCCATAGAAATCACCCAGAATCTTCTTCTGAGCTTCCCTGTTCTCCTTCTCCTCACCCATGATCTTTCTCACCACGACGTACTTTCTGCCTGTCAACAATTCCGGAGTTACCTGGTTGAAATTTTCGCCCTGAATCACCTGCTCCGCATGAGCTTTAGACCCAACAACTGCGCCTCCGGCCTCCTGTGCGATAACGACTCCTGCGCAGACGTCCCAAGCCCAACAACCGATTTCCCAGTAGAGGTCGAGATTTCCACTTGCTACGTGGCAGAAGTTGAGTGCTGCTGAACCGATGCTGCGTACCCCGCGGACCATTTTTGCGCCCTCTACGCCACCGTTTGGGTCTCCGGTGATTTTCTTGAAAGAGTTGAGTTTTTGTTGAAGGATTGCTTCGCGTCGGTCGGTGCCCCATTCAAAAGCAACCAGTGCCTGATTCAGGTCTGTTAGAGGGATTGCATTTTCCACCAATGGCAGTCTTCTCGGAGCTGGATGATGAGGACTTGAAAGAAAACTTCCTTTTCCTTTACATCCATGATACAACATATCCATAAACGGCGCATACACCACCCCTACTTTCGCTTCTCCATCCACAACAACGCCGATGCTAATACAGGTGTATGGGAAACCGTGTACGAAGTTAGTCGTTCCATCGATCGGGTCTACGATCCAAACGACTCCTTGTTTTTCAATCCTTCCCTCTTCACCAGCTGCCCAAGATTCTTCCCCGATAAACGTATGCCTTGGAAAGCGAGACGAAACCGATCCTCTGACCAGCTTCTCGACAGCTTCATCGGTCTCAGTGACAAGATCGGCAGAGTTCTTCTTGAACTCAGATCCAGCAGACGAGGAGAAGCGCTTGCCAGAACCATCAACGATTGCTCGCCCAGCCGTTTTGGAGAGGGCGATTGCGTACTGGTAGATTTCGTTAAGCTCCTCGTCAGATACCTTGGATGTCATCTTGAACAATCGTATTCGGAGGTGATACGTGGCTGATGAAGCGGTTGGAATGAGTCAAGAAAGAAGCACGAGCAAGACCTGACTAAAACCAGACGCAAGGCCGTGCACAAACCAACAAACCCTTCACACGTGCTTCCAGGACTCCTACCATACCACCAACCACACTGAATTTCTACACATACATTACAAATCCAAATAACCAGTCCCAGTTAGTACAATGGTTAGTATAGGGCACTCTCAATAGAACCTGCTGCATCAACGGGATAGCGAATGTGCTGCTCAGATCAGGGTTCGATTCCCTGGCCGGGAAACACTTTTGCGAGCTTTTTGTTTTCCTTTTTTTTTTTTTTGCACGAACCAGAACGGCTTCTCTTCTTCCTTGACGCAAGGTCATTTAGTTCGTGCGCTATCCGCTGTTGTTGCTAGCAAAGTCCGAGCCTGGTGTTTTTATTTCCCTCGACGCCTTCGAAGATGGAAAGATGCAAGTGCAGTATTCCACTTGAAATCCAAACAACAGCGCGCTGAGAGTATCAGTCCTGTCTTTCGTTCAGCACTCTCGCAATTGGGAGCCATACTGGCTTCGTAACGTTTGTTCCGACAGAAGCGATGCAGAAAGATTAAATGCATTGCAGTTCAAAAGTAAAGAAACGCAGACAGAGCTGGCGTGTATGGGTTTGCCTCTCGATCAGCGTGGTTGTGCAAAAGTGGGCTACGATATGAGAGGTTCGGCTGCTGGAAAGTTGCAAGGGGTCGTATGGGACGAGCAAGCTGGGTGCCAACGCTGACGATTCTTCCCGCATGTGTGCCTAACTTTGATGCCCACCAGTCGCGCTGATTGTCTAGGCAGTTTGATCCATCTCCACCTTCCCCCTTTCCTCATCCTCACCCTCAGCTTGACCGTCGGGACTACCAGGATAATCGTAGCCGACAACGCCCCTATCCGTCCAGCCGAGTGGCGCACCCTTACCCGTGACACTCGGATCCTCACTCTCCCCCATCGCCAACTTCTCCCTTAACCCTCTCACTTCCCTCCTACACACCTCCAATGCCTTATCTCTCCTCTCCAACCTCTTCTTCAACCGTATCAAGTATTCATTACTATGCCTTAACAATGCGACTTTACTAATCGCTTTATTTGCCGCTCTGGCCTGTTCTGGATCGCCTACCTCGGCTAAATCAAACCCTTCTGCTTGAACGTCTTCCTCCGCTCCATCTGGACCTAGTAGAGACCCATTCGGTGCATCTTCATCCAACGTAATCGCGGGGAGAAGGCCTCGAAGCTCGTCAAAGCAAAACTTGAGTGAGTCGCGACGCTTTTGTTCAGCAGCCTTATGACTCGTCCTGCGCGACTCTAACCCTCCAGCTGACTTGTACGTCATCCAAGCATCTCTATCCGCTTGACTCAGCCCCGAAGGTTGGATGTGTTGCTGAGGGGGAAGATTGAACGTGACTTTTGGTCCCGCTGCGTGTGGGGTTGGGAAAGGTGCAATGGAAGGGTATCCGATCGGAGGTTGTTGCGGTGGTAAAGCGATTGATTGAGGTTGTGACATTACCACTTGCTGTTGTGGTTGAAATTCGGATGCTTTACCCTTCCCGTTTGCACCAGGATTGGGGTTGCGTGTACTGGTGCCAGATGGACTACTTCGAATACCCATGATTGAAGCGGGAGTCAAAATCTTAGCGGTGGGTCCACTGGGAGGGGGCATTGCTCCTTCTCCGCTCAAGTCGATCGGTGATGGGGTGGAAGAAGTGCCTTCGCTTTGAGCTACGTCTGCTGATTGGTTTCTCGAGCGACCTTCGGCACCGGCACCAGATGTTGTGATAGAAGCCCTTCTCGAACTCGGCCCATTACCACTACCTCCATTCGCATAGCCTCCATTGGCAGTAGGCGTTGCGGTGCCGGGAGAAGTAAGAGTCTCTTTTTTCTTCTTCAACGGCCCAGAGACGGGTTTCATCAATGGCGAAGGGCGGACTTTGTTAGCTCTTGCTTCAGCAGTTGTGCTCCTGTTCTTCCTGATCTTGGAACTGCCTTTGGCGATGAGGGCAAGGGGCGAAGCAGTGGGAGTAAAGTTATTGTTGTTAACCGCAGCGAGAGGCGGGGAGCCGTGCATTGCGGCTTGCGAAGTTTGCGCGTGGTGCTGCAAGGATGCTGGAGGCAACATCATTTCGTTCAGACTCGGTGGTTGTGGTCTCAATGCGGGCGAAGTGAGAGGGGAGAAGAGTTCGGACATGACGATAGCCGTGCTTGCTGTGCTAAAGACACTAGCAGGAGTAACAGCTGGAGATTCAAGCGGAGTGTAGCTACCCAAGTAATCGTGACCAGGTCTGTGTTCGACACCGACACTAGCTGGTTGCAAGTTGGGCTGGATGGCGAGAGGCGACATGAAGTTGGCTGAACCTGGAGGACAAGCAGAGCTGTTGAATGGACCTGAACCCATGGGTGTGATCAACCCGTACTGCGCGAGGACGTTGGATTGGTCGCCCTGGCCGTTGTTCATCTGTTGTTGTTGTTGTTGCTGCTTCTGCTGCTGGAATTGAGCAGCTTGAAGAACGTTGTTGCGCGCACTAGGGTTGCTGCCTGCAGCAAAAGCATTCTGTAGCGCCATAAGAAGACTCTGCTGCTGACCGGACGAGAGTTGACCATCTTGACCCGACGGATTGAGTTGCAAATTCTGCTGCTGCTGTTGCTGGTGATGCTGTTGTTGTTGCGCATACTGGTGTTGTTGTTGTTGTTGTTGTTGTTGCTGTACCTGTTGCATCCTGGACAACTGATCGAGTTGCTGTTTGAGCAAAGCAGTCTGCATATTCTGGATGCGCTCCGCCTTTTCCCTCTCCATCAGCATTTGTTGCAGATCGCTGATCGATAATTGAGGCATCTGGCCTTCCTCCTCGCCGTTGCCGTTGCCGTTGCCGTTGCCGTTGCCGTTGTTGTTGCTGTTGCTGTTGCCGTTGTTGCCCTGCAACCGCGATTGTCCAGAATGAGAGGATTGCATAGCAGTCGAACTTTGACCGTTCTGATCGGCGCCAAAGATTGCAGGTGCGTGATTCATGTGGGAAGGTGGAGTGGAAGAAGGAGGTGTGTGGGCGTTAGATTGTGAGCTTGGAGGTGACTGTTTACCACCAAAACGATTCCTCGAGAAGGGCAAAGGCGAGCTGGCGTGGGATGTGTTGTTCAAGTAGAAGGCCTGTTTGGAGTGGGATTGGGCACTCGAGTCGGAACCAATGTGACCAAAGTTGACAGATGGTCTGGGGTGATGGCTGACGGGAGCTGATCCTGTGTCAGCATGTGCGTTGTGGTTGGATGAGAGGGAGGGAGCATGATTGCTGGAAGGAAAGATGTTGAGATCCTCCAAGCCAGAGTTGGCTGTTGAAAAGTCGGGATTGGCAAAATCGAATGTATCCATAAACGAGTTTGGCGTTGATGAGCAAGGGAAAGGATTGTCTGATGAAGCGGGACTGTTCTGCATATTCCTGGATGTGAGAGATCTTGGAGTGATCAGGTCAGGTTGGCGTAAGCAACAATTGTGCTTGCAGAAGCGGGATCTGCCAACCAGCCGACCAAGCGCAACCGATCACACCAAAGCGCTTCAAAATGTTGGATACCAGGCCGATGATGAGTCAAAGAAAGCTCAGCTAGTCGCTGCTGCTCCGATCTAGCAGATAGATTTGAAAAAAAAAGGAAAAAAGAAAGAGAAAAAAAGGTAAAGTAGGGGCCAGCTTAGAAGATCAGTCGAACTCGCTTTTACCGTTGGGTGGATGTAAACGAGGGAAAAGGCAGTGATGGTGATGGTGATGGTGATGGTGATGGTGATGGTGACGGTGACGGTGGCGGTGGCGGTGGCGGTGGCGGTGGCGGTGGCGGTGATGATGATGAGGAGGAGGAGGAGGAGGAGGAGCAAATGTGCCGACAAATGACGATGAGCAGCTAATAATTCTAAAAGGGAATATCGACGAGATCAAGATTAAACGGATTGAGTGTGAGAATCAGGCGCAGCAGAGGGCAGCTGAGCGAAGGAGAGGCGGAAGGGGGGCAAACTACTAAAAGGGCAAACTGCTAAAAGAGAGAGCGGGCAAGGTCGGTTCAGAGCGAAACGCAGTCTGGGCGGAAAGATTACTGCGGACAGCGTGATTGCAGTGTAAGAAAAAGCCGAGGTTTAGAAAGAGACTAAGAAAATCAGCGGCGGCACACAGAAGAGTTGAAGCGTTTTTTTGTTGTTGTTGTAATGATGATAATTTAAGTACAAATTTGAGTCCAGAGGTCTCCGCGTCTTTCGCCACTCGCGTGCGTTCGGAGCGGAGCTGATGCGCAAATCTTTTCACTCGGCCGTAAGCTTTGCTTCTATGCTTTGTTGCGGCTCTCTCCACTTCAACTAGAAGCGCCTCTCCAAAACCGATTCCACTTGGCATCGATTGATTATTGATTTTCAATTTTCAACCGAATTTCTTCACTTTTTCTCTTGTTGCCAATCGACACTCTGTAAGTGCCTCCACAACTTTCAAAACTTTCCAAAAGGAGAACAATAAATCAGTTTCGCCGAGTGCCGATGGAAAGCGAGCTCGATCAGCCGGGACATTCACTAGACCAATGACCATTCTTGCCACATCTAAAGCAACCGTCATCTTTGCCGGCTGCCTTGTTGCCTCCGCGGGTGCTACTGCTGCTGCCTCTCTTTGCTGCTGAGGTTCTATTGTTGCTGTTGCTGTTGCTGCTGCTGTTCAAATTCGAGTTCTGTCGCGGGTTCGGGCAGTCCGAAGCCCAATGACCTGCCTGACCGCATCTATAACATTCTCGTCCGCCTCCTCCGCCACTGCTGCGTGAGTTGCCACGGCTCTTCTGACCTCCATACCTTCCGCCACCAGCACCATTGTTGCTATCAGAGGTGTCAGCAGAGCCATCATCCCACTCGAAAAATCCGCACCTGAGTCTTGCACTTTCGCGATTGCATGCCCAGAAAGCCTTACCCTTGGTTGGGCCATCTTTCGAAACAGTCTTGAGAACCGCTTGCAGGTTGCAGTCGCATCGTCGAACTCCTCCTGAATTGAAATTGCAGTTGTAAGTGCGCATGTTGGACGACCGATTGTCTGAGTCGTTATCTGATGCACTCGGTCGTTTTGCTGGGATGACTCTGGCAGGTGGCGCGGGGCCATTGCTGGAATCGGCCCAATCGAAAAAGTCGCACTTACCAGAATCGCCCATCGGTTTAGGGCAGACGAAGAACTTGCGTCCTTGATTAGGGCCGGCTTTGTTGGTGGTGCGCTCTACTGCTGGCTCGCCGCACATGCATCTTCTGCCTCCAGTGCCGTTGGTGC